AAAACGGGACGGAAAACATGAAATTTTGCAATAATCTTGCGCCACCCTTGCACGAAACGACGATAATTTTTCTAATTTCATAGATAACAGAAGACAGTATTTTTTCTACATAACCCCGCTCCCTCTCACTTTAAAGCTGGATCCGCCACTGATCCTGTAAGAAAGGGTCAGTGGTTGGTCACTTATTATTACATTTTACTACGCAAATTCTGACCCTTAATTAACATTTGATTATCCGCCTACGACCCATAAAATTCCTATTAACTCATTTAATTGTTGTTTTCCAGTGGTTCAAAAGGTCTGCTAATTCGTGAAACTGACGCTATGAAAAGCAACAGTAGAATGGAAAATGGGTAAGTTCGTCTTGAATAATAATTGATGACCAATCTATGATTTCCCTTGTGCTCTTTTCACAGAGATATCACAGTCAGAGAAACTCATTGCAATAATTTGACGACTTGGTGGAGTAGTAGGACGAAAAACGAGAAGAAATGCTCGTACTGTGTGTTTGGCCTCATGTTGTCCGCAACACTTGGCTTGGTGGTGTATTTTGCATTATTTGCAGGTAAGATGCATGTCGCTCTGCAATCTCGATTGTAACGTTCCAAACTTTATCAGATAAAAACATCGTTTGCAAATCAAGCGAGTGTCAAGCAGCATCCACCCAATTATTGGGGTTCATCGACAATAGCCAGAATGCCTGTGACAACTTTTACCAATTTGCATGTGGAAGTTCAAGAGAGACTAACACCTCTGCTGGCTACCAAAATATCATGGAAGATGATATTGACATTCTAATTAGGTAGGCAATGTGGATGAATGAATACGACCGAAAAGTGTGTTTGAAATGGAACTGTTTCAGGCAAATGTTGGATTCAGAGAGCAATAATTCAAACATACCATCGATAGATCTAGCGAAACAGTTTTACAAAGTTTGCTTTAACAATGGGGAAACTCGCAATGGCATGAAACATTTAACTTCTGTGTTGCACCTTATCGGGGGCTGGCCCGTTTTAGAAGGACACGACTGGAAAGCGGAGAGATTTACGTCTTGGGCCGTGGCAGTAAGAACATTGCGCAACTACGGAGTAAACTTTAATATTTTTTTCGATATCAATGTCGACGTGGATCGAGAGCATCCAGAAAGATACATTTTAAGTGTGAGTAACAACGGTCATAATCAAGAATTATTATTAAAAACGAAACAAATATTTTGTTACTAGTTTGCTTTGCTGGGAAGTAAAGTAAAGGAAAGTAGTGTGCGATTCGAATCTTTTTAGTGATTCGTAGCACACAGGGGCGGGTCCAGCTTTAAAGTCAGGGGGGGGTTATGTAGAAAAAATACAGTCTTCTGTTGCCTATGAAATTAGAAAAATTACCGTCGTTTTGTGCAAGGGTGGCTCAAGATTATTGCAAAACTTCATGTTTTCCGTCCCGTTTTGCATGTTTCTCGGAAATGGACTTTATTCGAAGTTGAACTTGAACATGACGCTGCTTTTTTCGAGGTTTCTCAAGAACTATTTGAGCCACAGAATTCGTTTTGGCATCGTTGAATAGAAAATTGAAGACTCGATTCAGTCGTAACAACGTGAGTTAGGAAATTCGAATAGTTTTGGGCCAGAAAGCGAAATTTGAATATCAAACACTTAGGTTCAAGATTATGCCAAAATTTCATGTTTTCCG